AGTTTTTCCAAAGAGCTTGGCAGTAAAACAGCAAAGAGATACAAAATGATAGCTAGAGAGGATGGCAAGGCCAAATAAATAGTTTTTTTTTCCTCATAGTAACTGGAGTTGTCTGTTCAAGCTCATAGAATAGATTCTCCAGACAAAGCTATCCCAGGCTCAAGGTACTTTGTTAGGTCCACATCCACTCAAACGAGTAGCCCTTGAGCACCCATCAATGTATTTTCCTTTAATAGTTACCCAGATGACACAATTAAAAGCTAAGGCATTTAATGAAATAGTGTAAGAAAAGTAAGTAAAGCATTTCTTAGGGTATACTCTGTACCTCATTTGTAAAAAAGGATAGGTACAGATAGGAAACATATACAGAGGGAAGATATGTGATCCAGGCATATATATGGAGATGAAATGAGTACTTGTGATTCTGGTCACCAGTGTCCTCTGGTGTTGTGATTATGCTGCTCCTGCTGGACATACTGCACAATGATCTCCACCAGGTACATCATCTCTGATGTATATTTCTCTACTGCCAAGCTTAGCTCCACTGGGCAGTTGGTGACAGAATTTCTCTCTATTTGCAGGTTCTAGCTTCAGCTGCAGTCCTTGTCTGTGGTGATATGCCTTCCATATGAGAACAGTGGATTCTGCCATGCTCTTTTAGTTCAAAGTCTTCAGATTTTCCCCAGCTCCTTCAGAAAAGCAATAGCCTTTATACTTAGCCCTATATGAACAGAGGGAAAAACCCTCCAGGCATTTTTTTTTATTCATTAAAGAGTATTCTGTCTGTTCCATACAGAGTCATACCTAGAATGGGCTTTTTTGTTTTTAACATTCAGCAGATCCTTTGTTCCAGCTACCAAGCTCTTTAGAACATAGAGAAGAATGTTTTCTTAACTAGGAAGAGGGTGCTCTGATTTAATCTATTTTTGAACTCTACTTCCTAGTTTGTGTCTGTTAAAGATCTCAATTTTTGTTCCTCTTTGTTGGTTTGACTACAACCAGTGATTGAATGAAAAAAAATTGTTGAGTGTTTACTCTGTGCCAAGTACTGTGCTAAGTACTGAGAATACAAATAGGAAAAAAATTTATGAGAATTCCTGCTTTCAAGGATACCACACTCTAATTTGGGGAGACAACTCATATAACAGATTTCAGCTGAAGGATAGATGAAAAAGTCCAAAATCCTAAGAGTTCAGTGACAAGGTGAATGGAAAGACTCAGTTCATTAGGATGTACCTGCAGATTGGATAACAAGGCCCTGGAGAGCATAGTGGCAGGGCAAATGGTAAGGCCTGAAGGACTGTAGGATGCAATGGCAGGGCAGATGGTAAGATATAATGGTCCTCCATTTCACTAGAAGGCTTGTAACTCATCCAAGTGGTATAAAAAGCCAATTATACCCAGTTTACCCATGGGCTCTGGCTGGACTCTGATGGAAGATGTCCTGCTGATGTGGCAGCTGGAATAGGGTCTGGGTTGGGTGGCCTAGAGGTGATGGGAGGAGGAGGAGTGAAGGAAAGGTGGAGAAGAATGGGATCCCCTGGGTGGTGTATTCTTCCCACCTGGCTATCCAGATTGTATCTAGTTGTCCTCCACACTAGAGGTTCTTCTCCCAACTGCCAGGCCTCTCAGAGCCCAGGGCCCCTCATTTCCTCAATTTCAAAATCACATCATCCTTCCCATTCAGAGAATTTTGGAAAAGGGAAAATACAGAGACAAAATGTTTAGGAGGCAAGGAATTTACCCTACCCTTGCTAGTCAAATTCCTGCCTTTATTATACACACACACACACACACACACACATATATATACATATAATATATATATATATATATATATATATACATATATATACATATATATGTGTATATATATATAGCCAAATTCCTGCCTTCATTATGTATGTGTTTGTGTGTGTGTGTGTGTATATATATATACACATATATGTATGTATATATATATATATGTATATATATATATATATATACATATATATATATATATATATACATATGTACATATGTGTGTGTGTATGTGTGTGTAGCCAGCAAGTCCTAAAGCCTTGTCAGGCTTTCAGCTCCCTTACGTCAGCATAGGGAAGACTTGGGCTTAGGCAGTGATGGAATGTGTTGTTGGGGAGGGGGTATGGTTAATGGAGCAAGGTTCCAGAGAAGACTAAAGGCGGTGGGATCAAAGGCACAAGTAGTAAAATTATCCTTGGCAAAGAAAGGGATTGCCCTTTTCCCAGGGCAAAGGAGGAGAGAATATGTCAAGATGTAGAGTTTTGAGGTGTGGAAGAAACGTGGGTTGGGAGAACTCATGAAAAACTATTATACTTTGTTTAGGAAAGTAGGGGGTTTAGAATAGCTGCTTCAGAGGGTATGATCAGGGAGGAGGAATACCACGGCTACAGTGAGAATCCATTTGATGTTAGGTAATATGAATTTACTGTAAGCCCAATTGAAAGAGTTGTGTGATTTTATTTAGTGATGGTCAGCAGGTAGAGAGGAGAGGAGAAAAGAAATGGTAGGGGTGACCCTGAGTTCAAAACCAGGCAAGATGGTGGTATAGTAAGGAAATAAGGGAGTCAAAGGTGGAGAATTTTATATATCTGAACTGGTATATGTGAACCTAAGGCCAAGGGAAGAAAGTGAAACCAAAATTGGGGTGATAGATTAAAAGAACAGGAAGGAAAAGAGAAACTGAAGGTCACGGCGAAGATGAAAAATAAATTTAAGAGTGAGGCAGAAGGAAAGATAGGACAGATTTTATTCAAAGAGAAGAATTTCAGAGTTTGAGTGTAATTATGGGTGATGCTGAGATCTAAGATCTGGCTACTCCTCTGGGTGGTTGAGGCACATTGAAGATAATTTTATTTGAGGCTGATGAAACCCGACATCTAAATATTCAAGGAGGTAGATGTCAGTCTGAATAATTGAAGTCCTCAAGTGGGAGGGTGAGAGTTGAGGTAAAAAGAAAGACTGTGAGCCAGGTGGGAAACTTCTCAAGAGAGAATCTTCTAAATGAGAGAAACAGAGTTCTGGACAGGGTTAAATACCTGCATGTAATGACCCTCAAAGGAGATGAGGTTGCAATGATGGGAAGTAGTAGAGAACAAATTGACAATATGGAGCCAAAAGCATACTGATTTTTTTTTCTCCTGGCCCTTTGTGATAAAAGTGTGAGAGAAGAAATAGTCCTCCTTGGAGATCCCTGACATATGGTGTCTTCCTAGAAGGCCAAGTTTCTGTGAGGTTAAAAAAAAAAGTCTGAGACAAAAGATGAAGGTTTTGTAAAAAGCCTGAGTAGGGGCTTCATAGGGCACAGTGGAAGAGTCATACAGGAGAGGATAGGGTACAGTGAATGTAATGCCACACCTGAAGTCAGGCAGATTCATCTTCCTGAGTTCACATCTGGCTTCAGACACTTACTATCTGTGAGATCCTGGGCCAGTCACTTCACCCTGTTTACCTCAGTTTCCTCATCTGTCAAATAGGCTGGAGAAGGAAATGGCAAATCACTCTAGTACCTCTGCCAAGAAAACCCCAAATGGGGGATCATGAAGAGTCGAACACAGCTGAAATGACTGAACAATAATCTCTCCATTCTATTTTTAGTTCTACCAGTGGACTTAGTGATCTGGATAGAGTGTGTGACTCTACCTAGTGGAGTCAAGAAACTTGAGTTTGACTCCCTTCTCATGTACTAACCAGCTTTCCCCACACACAAGTCATCCTCCACTCAGCAGTCAAAATGATTTTCCTGAAGTACAGGTCTGACTATGAAAGCAGCTTCCCTATTACCTCCAAGATCTAATATAAAATACTCTGTCATTTAAAGCCCTTCACAACATGTCCTCTTCCTACTTTTCCAGTCATCTTATACTTAACTCCGGATCACATAGGTTATGATCCTGACACTCCATTCCCCCAACAGTGGCTGTCCACCATGTCTGGCACACTCTCCCTCTTACCTCCACCTCCTGGCTTCTCTGACTTCCTTCAAGATAGCTCAACTCTTTCTGTAGGATGCTTTTCTCACCCTCCTAATCCTCCTCTCCCCCACCCCAGTCCCTCCTCTGCGATTGTTGCTGTTTAGTCATTTTCAGCTGTGTCCAACTCTTTGTGACCACTTTTAGGTTTTTCTTGGCAAAGATACTGGAGTGGTTTGCTATTTCTTTCTCCAGCTCATTTTACAGATGAGAAAACTCAGGAAAGAGGATTAAGTGACTTGCCCAGGGTCACACAGTTAGTGTCTGAAGTCACATTTGAATTCAACTCTTCCTGACTCCAGTGCTGGCACTCTATCCACTGCACTACCTCGCTGCCTCTGAGGTTACCTTCCATTAAATTTTATATGTCTTGTAAGTACGTAATTATCTGCATGTTGTCTCTCCCATTATAATGGAAGCTAATTTAAGGCAAGGATTGGTTTTTGCCTTTCTTTGCTATCCTCGGTACTTAGCACAGTGCCTGGTACATAGTAAGTGCTCACTAAATGCTTATTACTTACACCTGATTTAATTAATCTCTCAGAACCTAAGTCACCTCATCTATAGAAACAATGATATTTACAATATCATTATTGTCTCATATATATATGGTTACTCCTCTGGGTGGTTGAGGCACATTGAAGATCAAGATTTTGAGGTTGATAAAATGTGAGTTCTAAGTATTCAAGGGGATGTCAGTCTGAATATTGAAGTCTTCGAGCATGAGGGATGTGTGCATATGTCTGTATGTATTTATGTGTGTGTGTGTGTGTATTTAAACAACCTCATGATGTTGTTTTAATGAAAGTGGTTTTTAGATCTTAGAATGCTATATGAATGTATGTTATTTCTATTATTGTTATACTTTTGTCTGTAAAAATGAGCTTTCTAATACTATAGAACAATGTGGTTTAATAAGAATCATTGTAACTAAGAATAACTATAAGGATAATAGGATTATTGCTAATGTCTCTTATCCCTCTCTCTGCTCCCTTTGTGTTTTCCCAGATTTGGGAAGAAAAAAGAGGATAAAGGTGGAAAAAATGAACAGAAGGGAAAGCAAGGTACACTTCAGGAAGAAGAACTAGAAAAAATGAAGGAAGAACGGGAAAGGTGAGCCCACATCTAGTTTTCCATACAGACATGCCCTTCTATGAAGGGATTCTATCCAACATTATTGAATAGTGATGTCATTCATGTTTTTTTCCTTTTGCTCCAGCTCTGTAATTCTGTTGATATAAGGGACTCTTGGTGTGGACATTCCATCCACCAATTAAGATTGGCAACTGTTGTGTAATTGATGCTTTCTAAGAGTTGCCTGGGGCACTGAAAATCACTGACTTACCCAGGATCAAACAACTAGTATGTAACCAAGGCAGAACTTGACCCCAGTTCTTCCAGATCCACCAAGCTGCATTACCTCTTCAAAATGTAAATGTACCTCATCTAATAGTTTTCCTGTGGAACTCAGTACTCCCTATTTTAATTTAACATAGTACTTTCTTGGAACAAGTCAACAAAGCTAGACAGTTTGCATAAATGTAGACAGAGCCTTGAACTTTCAGAGATTCAGAGTTGGAAAAGATTTATATCTTCTACTCCAACCATTAATTGATAGATTTCCATCTAAAAAAAAATCCATAAATCCAACATCCATTTGAATACAACCAGGAACAGGAAATTCATATTAGGTATGCCATTCCTTTTCAGGTAGCTCTAACTGTTAGTAAATTCTTTCTTACATAGACTTGAAATATGGTATTTCATAACTTAAAAGAACATAGAATCTAGAATTAAGGGAAGCAGCAAGGTGGTAAAGAGGATGAAGAGCTACCAGTAGAGTTGGAAAGGTTGGAGTTCAACTTTCCCAACTCTTCATAACCCCATTGGAGGTTCTCTTGGCAAAAATACTGGAGTGGTTTGCCATTCCCTCCTCCAGCTCATCTTGAGGAACTGAAGCAAGCAGGGTAAAGTGACTCACTCAGGGTCACATAGCTAGTGAGTATCTGAGGCCAGATTTGAATTCAGGAAGATGGGTCTTCCTGATTCCAGGCCTGGTGTTCTATCAACTGTGCCACCTAGCTGCCCACATATATAAGACTGTATGAATATATACATATATGCGTGTGCACACACACACTCATACACACACACACACACACACACATATGTATTGTTGTTGTAGAGATCATCTAGTTCAAGCCTCTTTTTCAGAATAAAAAAAAATGAAGGCCAAAGAGTTCAAATGTCTTGCCCAGTGTTACAAAGGTGTTGAATAGCAGAGCCTAGGTCTTCTTACTCCAAAGCTGTTGCTTGTTCAAATACAACATCAAGCTGCCTCTCTGGGTCCCAGTTCTGTTCTCTGGATTCCTTCAAAATAAAATCTAATCCCTTTTCTACATGGCAGCCCTTCAAATAGATGAAGACAAGAAGTTGATTTGAATTCATTTTTAAAATTTAATTTTTTTCAATTAAAAATCTTTTTTTCTCTCACTCCCTCTTCTCTCCCTCCCTCACTGAAAAAAAAAACAGAAAGAAGCAAAATCTTTGTAACAAATATGCATAATCAAGTAAAACAAATTCCTGCATTGACCATATTCAGAAATGTATCTTATTATGTTGATCAGCATTCTTTGGTCTTTCAAAGTTATTTGTCTTGTAATGTTGTTATTGTATAAAAGTCTTCTCTTGATTCTACTCACTTCACTCTGCATCAGTTCATAGAAAGCATCCCAGGTTTCTCTGAACCCATCCCTTTCTTCATTTTTTTTAACAGCACAGTAATATTCCCTTATGTTGATATATCGTACCTGGTTCAATCATTCTCATATAGATGGACATCTCCTCAGCTTCTAGTTCTCTGTCATCACAAAGAAAGCTACCATAAATATTTTTGTGCATGGAATCCTTTTCCTCTTTCTTTGACATCTTTGCGTATAGTCAATTTTAAAGGGGGGAAAAGAAGGGAACAGGTATTTATTAAACACCTGCTATGTGCCAGGCACTATGCTATGCATCTTTAAAATATCTCACTTGATTCCCACGACAACCCTGGAAGGTTGATGCTATTGTTGTAAAGCCAGTTACGGTGTCAATCAGCAGGTAGATATTGGTCACCAAAGCATGGTGGGTGTCAATGCAGAAACTATGAGGACAAAACCAAAAAGATAGGTTGTTGTGATTATGTAAAAGTAAAATAAAAATTTTCAAGATTTTCAATATATTTTAAGAAAAATTAGCCTCAAATTCACTTTATATTATCATATAAAACATATTACTTATAAATCAAAAGACAGGCTGATTTCTGTTTTGAGTGTATTAGCTGGAGAAGATACTTGCTCAGGTCCTAAGAAATAAGTTAAACACATCAGGTTTCAGCTGATGATAGTGGCCTTAAAATTACTGTTGTGTATTCCTGATTTTTGCCACACTCTAGTGTGCCTTCTTTATTTTAAACTGCTGACTCCCAGTCTGGATACTGGCCCTCTGAGAAGTGTTCACCCCTCGTTACAAAGAAGCCAGTGTCTTTTATTAGACTTCTGGCAAGCCTGGAAGTATAGAGCCCATCTGTTATAGAGCCCAGTTTCCTTTACTAAACTATTGGCAGATCATAAGGGATGAACTCTTCTTTGAGGAATTAATGTTCCAGTTGAAAACGAGGTAATCATCCTCCACATTTCTTTGATATTAATGCTGGTACTTTGCTCAAGCAAAGGCCATATTTTAAAGCAGTTAATTGAATATTCATATTTCCCAAGATGATTCTTTCCTTTCACAGGTAAAGGAAGTTTGGAAAGAATTTTAAAATGTGATGAAATTAGGAAATAATTTTAAATACTGTATTCAGTTTTCATAACCTACAAAAACAGTGTCATTCATGCATGCATGGCATTTATGGAGGGCTAAGCACCATACTAACTGCGGGAGAATCCAAAGACAAAAACAACAAAGGTCTGCCCTCAGTAAGCTTTTGATCTACTGGGGAGAAACAATGAATACACAGTAAGCAAAAACAAAATAAATACATCATCTGGAATTAGGAAAGGCCCTAACTACCTGGGTGATAGGGAGGGGTCTCTGGTAGAAGGTGACACTAAAATGAGCAGATTCTCTCCACTCGGCTTTGCCTTCCCTTAATTATTCTCCTCCATTTTCAAAAAGAATCATCTCTTGTGACATCGAGTGTGGGTAGTGAGAAAGTCCTATCTGTTCATTCTGATTTCTTGGACACAGCAGTATCTCCTGTTAACCTTTGAGGCCTCTGTCACCTGTTCTTGTTCAGATGGTTGACTTTATCAATATCAAAGTGAAGTTGGGGGCGGGAAGATGGGGGCCCTATTTAGTTCTTTCTAAGGTTTTGAAAGGTTGATAAGCTCAGTCACAGGTTCAGCAGAGCAGTTAAAAGGAAATCAAAGTTTTTATATTGTTGTTGACTATCCACCTAAACAAAGTTGCCCCAAAGGCAACAAAGATGAATTTGATCGTGTATCTCAAGATTCAGTAATCCTGTAATGTAAAACATAATTCTAGCTAAGATTTTAATGTATATATGGGCAAAGACATCTATGCAGTCAGGCCCTAGTATAGTTCTGGCTGCTTCTATGACTTCACTATGCTGCAGCTCTGTCTCTATCACAGGCCTCCGCATCTTCAGAAAGCCAAGCTTCCGATTGGTCTGCCAAAGTGCAGTCTTCACATTTTTTTGCCAATCGGTTCTTGCTTGGTGATGGAAAAAATCAGAGTAGCTGTAGAACAGCATGCCAGGTGGAAAATTGATAACCCATAAAATAAGGCAGGTAGTCTTTAAGTAAAAGATCATTTCCTTCCTGAATTCGCCTTTAGAAAATAGCAGCCCCAGGGAATTTTGTTCTCAAATGCTAGACTGTAAATTAACCCAGCCTGGCTATTTGGGCTTCTGCTTCAATTTTCTTTAAATATGACTGCTCAAAATATTCAAAGACCTGTCCTGTTAGCCTCCATTTATACCACTTCCCAAATGTGAAAACATAAAACATATCTGATATGTGTTTCCTAGAGATAGAACCATCCATTTCAGGTGCTGGTAGAAAAAAAAAAGTCAGAGTGGCCAATTTTAGGCCTGGGTGCAAGAGGATTAATTTCAAGGACATTTCAACATCTCAGCAGCTGTGGACCTTGGGTGATAGTGGAGGCTGAGTTGATATGTAGTGCACATTTGGCTTGCTTCCAAGTGCTGGAGTCTTATTTCCAGGATTTCCAGTGAAGAATATCTTCTTGATCATCCCATAGTGAGCAAATTCACAACTCTTAAAAAACTCAACAAGCATATTACTCCTCTAAGGCACTTCTACATTAAAAAAGAATGGGATAATATTTAATAAAGTTCATAGAGCTTTTTTATAATATAATTTAAAATGCCTTTCTTAAACTATTTTCAAGAAAATTAACCATGGAATAGCTACAGATATTGCATTTTCTTTCTGTCCTGTATTTCCATATGTTACATACTTGTTATATAATCAGTCTTCAAAGTCAGTGATAGCAAAAAGATATTTGAAGTCCTTAAAAGATTTGACTGACATACAAGCCACACAGCACCCCACTCCCCCAAAATCCTTCCTTACAACTATCATTTTTAGCTTAGAAATTCAAGTAGAAGAGAAAGAATATCTTAGTCTAGTCCAAGGAACAGAAATATTTTTAAGAGGCAAAATGTGGCTAGGACATTAGGATTAAAATTTTGCTTTTTCGCATGAAAATTGCTAAGAGAGATAATTGAAAAAACATCATTTTCAATAGTCTGGCACCCTCAACAACTACTCTTGGTAACCCCAATCAGCTACCCTTATTCTGCTTGAATTCAAATCCTAGAGATAAAAGGAACCTCAAGAGGTCAACTAGTCAATCCCTTAAGTAAAGCATAAGCCTCTTCTACATTAGCCCCAGTGAATGGTCATTCCAGTAGTGTAGATACTTTTGCATCACCTATGATTAGAAATTCACTACCTTCTAATTCCACCCACCATTTTGTCCCAAAATCTTTTGTTATAACAAATGGTGAGAATTCAGTCTTACCTGGAACCTCTGAAATCTTAAGACCACTATCAAATACTAATTCCAAGAAAAATGGACTA